AATGGCATTTGGGAATAGCACACCAAGGAGCTGGCAGGGAAGATTTGAGTCCCACTTCTTTCGACCTTCCTTTCTCTGCATCTTAAATCTCTGGCTTCTAACACAATGGACATACATTTCTCATAAAATTGTGGAGCGCATCAAATAAGGCAATAAAGGAAAAGGCACTTGGACGATGAATGCTGTATTCCAGGAGCTAATAGATCTTTGTCTTGTCCTCTGAATGAAAAGCATTTTTGCCTTCCTTCTCTCCTCTCCTTTGGAAAAGTTTCTTGCTTTTGGCATGTACTTTTAGAAGCTATGTTTCAGTGTTCTTTTATTAATTCTAGCTACTTTGGCCAGGCATGTGGCATACAAATTTAATCCCAATACTTGGGAGACAGAGGCAGGCAGAGCTCTATGAGTTCCAGGCTAGCCAGGACTATAGAGAGCATTTTTGCCTTCCTTCTCTCCTCTCCTTTGGAAAAGTTTCTTGCTTTTGGCATGTACTTTTAGAAGCTATGTTTCAGTGTTCTTTTATTAATTCTAGCTACTTTGGCCAGGCATGTGGCATACAAATTTAATCCCAATACTTGGGAGACAGAGGCAGGCAGAGCTCTATGAGTTCCAGGCTAGCCAGGACTATAGAGTGAGACCCTGCCAATAATAATAATAATTTTTGGCCTGACAAAGTTTCTCTGTAAATGGGGACGGTCTGCTTAAGTCAGAAGCCATGAGTTTTTCTTAGGGAATGAAAAGGGTGCAGGTTGTGAATAGTTGATTCAATAATAATAATAATAATAATAATAATAATAATATAATAATAATAGATGCTTTAATGGGAATGAATGTAATAAAAATATTATTGCTCCAAAAAGACCTACAGCCACCACCACCAGTGGCAACACCACCAATACCACTGGTGATGCTGCCACAGGCCACTAACTGTGATGTCAGCCACTGAAGCCTACTCACAGTAGAGTCCACATGGGTTTTATGTCTGCATCTGATTGACAGTCTTTACACTTTGGCTGCAAAAGAAACTGAAAAGGGGAGGTCCTAATGAGTGCCCCCAAAGAAGTATTACACAAAGTGAGAAGACCACTGAAGGGTTCCTTTGGCTCAAATCATGGCCATTCCCCTCTAACCTCTGTTTTCTACATTCCCCCAACAAATTAACCAAATGGTGTTTCCTCAAGAGTTTTTAGAAAAAAAGACAGTCTCTAAAGGAAGAAATCTTGGAGCCAATAAAAGCATAAATTACTGCTTCTCCTAGTTGTGTGCTAGGTCCTCACAGTCTCTAGGCATGCGAATGCCTATGCATCACTCAGTTCTAGCACAGCACTGCAGTACGATCATTCCTTATGTACCTATTGGATGGCTTTCCCTGAATCTAGAACCCCATTGAAGGAATCAGAAATACAAATACAAATACAAATACAAATACAGTAAGATCTGTGCTCTTCATTATCGGACATCACATTCTAATCAGGAAATGTTATGTAAACTTTGTTTACAAACAAATGGAAAAGAGCTGTAACAAGGAATCAGTGCTCACACCAGGCAATGTTTTGAGACAGATGTTCTAACACCTGAAATAGGAAACCCCACTATTAAAGATTCTGTCCCATAATCCTGCATCATAGTCATTAGTAAGGCTGCTTTCATAAGCAGGTGACTAGAGGTAGTCAATAGACTGTTCTGTGCTGTTAACCAACTCAGACTTTAATGTGTGCTTTCAGTTTTTATATTGAAGCTTCAGATCTTTTATTACCTTCAAAATCATCATTTCAAACTTTATTGTTATTCGGATAGTGTAAAATGAAATTCTAGATTATAAAATACACTTAAAACAGCAACTTTTTCTTATGATACTCATGTTTTATTTTCTAGTCTTAAAGTACAGTCTCTAATTTAGATTCTTATGATGTTCACTTAATAACCAACTTAAATTGAGCACTCACATTCTTCCCTAAACTTTGATTAGAACAGTTACAGTAAATGAAAATAGGAAAATAATTTCTGTACAGAGATTCAAAAGGTGTGTTCTCAAGCCATAAAGCAGCTTCTTCCTAGTGTTTCCAGCACTAGACCTCCAGAACATTCTTTCTGTTCTGCTTAGGACAGGCAATCCAAACTTTTCCATGGGCTGCCCCTTGTTTCTCTCTTGGTCTCCCATAGGACTACACTGGCTTATCACACAGAAGGTGTCTAACACATGCTCCTGAGTGGATTTGGGGTGTCTTCTTGTAAACCAAGAACACAGAGGCAATAACAAGAAGTGCTCTCCGCAGCAGGACATGCTTTCCTAAACAGATAATGAAACAGAAAAAAACAGAAAACTAAAATTTTGCATCTACCTGTAAGGGACTAGATTCCTGATAAGCAAAGAGGGCCACTGATGGCACAAGAATGGCACATTTTCTGCTTTTTCTGGGTCTAACACAAAGGCCTAGGGGTTCCCCCTCTAGCCAGCAGGGCCCCCCTTCCAGTTGACAAGTTCAAACCACTTCAGATAAGATCAAGGGCAAACCTGGGCATTTCCTCATTTAAAGTCATAAACCTATCAATCTTCTTTTTTATATTATTTAAGTTGATCAATCCAAAATCAGGGGAGAAGGACCTGCTACACACCAGCAAAAACACTTAAAAAGGTTAAGCCCTCCTGGTGTCTTGGAATTCTTTGGTTTTTCAGTCCCCTCTCTCCACTCGTGGAGAGCTTTGTCCCTGGATGAGTGCATGTACCTGTGTAGTTCTCCATCATTAATAAAATTTGCCACCTGATGCTTTCTGCTATGTCTGAGATTTTTCTCTGACTTTTAATTCTTTAGCTGATGGAGAAAAAGAACCCAATCAAGACTCCTAGACAATAACATACCTACCTCAACTTTTCCATTCTGCCCTAAAGTCTCTTGGCCAGTGCTCGCCTTTGACTTGCTTTAATGAACAAGAGTACATTCCAATACACACCTCTGTGGAAGCTGGCATATCAATGCATGCGATAAATTGACTTGTAATATATGGTTGGATATTTTCTGCTGACTTTTTACTGTACACTTAAGATTGATGATAATTACATAATTCCCTCATGTTGGGACCTAGAGTATTATACTTTTTAATTATGGTGATAATGTATTAGGAGAAAGAAATAAACGCTATGAACACTGTAATTAGCTGAGTTTTTACTGCATCTTATAGTCACTGTAGTAAAACCAAGAAAATCACTAGACATGTTTCATTAAGATCCAAGAACTTATGAAAGAGTTTGTACAGCTCTATCAGGGTGAGAAATAATACAATGTTTTGCATGAGTGGATCTTTCTGATTAACTCAGATCCCCACTACCACCGGAAGAGGAAAGGCTAGAAATTATCTTTCACTGTTTCATTTTCTTTATCCTTTGGCCTCAAATTACCAGAGTCCTATTCATGCACACACACACACACACACACACACACACACACACACACACACACACTCAAGCATACACTCACATACACTCATGAAAGCAAGAAATAGGGTGTTTCCTTGCAAATACCTCATCACTCTGCCTTCTGGAAGGAATTCCCTAGCCTCTTCATCTAGGGCCAGTCAACAGGAAGGGTAAAGACAGAAGGGAAAGGCAAGGCACTTGCCTTTGTCCTCCAAAGAACTTTGCCAGGGCTCATGTAGAATGCTTCCACTTAGTCTCTTTGGCTAAACTTAGTAAGACATTCGGCCACAGTAGAAGCTCAGAAATACCACTTTATCTTCCCACTGAGGTTTTACTACTGAGAAAGAATCTCATCTCTAAGTGTCACTGTAGATTTCCTTCCTTCGTTCCCTCTAACCCTTAATCTACCAAGAATTTATTCTGTTTCCAAACACAGGTCTTCTGCTTGAAGATGAAAATAAGCTAGCAATTAGTGAAGGGCAGGCTGACTTTCACTGTTTACTAAGTGCTAAGAATTTTACCAGGAGGAGCTGAGCTAAATTGCAGTCCTCTGCCTATGTGTTTGCAGTCTAAATTGAGACCACAGCCTGTTTTAATTGAACATAAAATCTCCTATTTGGTCCTAAGCAGAAGAATAGTGTTTTCATTTGCAAGGAAGTAGATATTGGACTTGTTCCCAAGAGATGCCGAACTTTAGTGATAAGTTGCAATATTATCACATTCAAACAAAGGCCTGAAACATTAACTATTCTCTGGAGAAATACCAACCTCTTTGGCAACGTAATTAGTAATTTAAATACATGTTGAAGCTACAGACAGCTTTGGCTAGGTAGGCAGGTCGTTCTTCCCCTCTGCAGAACGGAGAGAGCTTTCAAAGGAATATCTGCTTTCAAAGTATGGAACAAAACTGGCAGAGCAAATCCGCCCCCTCTTCACCCTTTGCACATCATGCATTGTTTAAACAAAGGCTTCTATCACTTTTTAAGTCCAACCTTAGTGTTATCTAATCCTATGTCCTGAGGATTTGATTCTTGGAGACGTTATAGCTTTGAAATCCCTAAGCTACTAAAGAAGGGTGAAAAGAGGGGCCGGCTTCTGCTGGCTTGTCATTTTGTATTTTGCAAAGCTTAATGTATGTAGAGCCATCATAATGATGCAAAGTAGATCCTCAACATGTCTTCATTAATATTAACATATCTGTCTCCTTAGCAGGAAAAGTCTATGTGTATATTTGAAATTATTTCTTCTGTTTTCTCCAGTCATTTAAATTTTGCTTTCCGATGCTTACATCTTCCTTTGATGTGAGAATATATTTATGGCCCAAACTTTGACTTTTCCTGCAAGGTCTAATGTAACACAAAGGAAATGACAAACTCTCAGGCTAAGAAAGTTTGTCTATGATGATTCATCACAAATTTATTGTTTGTTAGGTTGTCAAAACCTCAACAGTATCATTTCATCTGCTCAATATCCATTTGGACAAAAGAGAAAGCATGCCTAGCTCTGTTAAATGCAAACCTAAGTCTTTCCATTCTGATAAACTACTTGACATAGCAATATCTATAAAGTGATAGCTAAGAGTTCTAGTCTAAATAAAATACTCTAAGAATTTATTTCTCTCCACATCTGTTTCTTCATTTTCCAATTCATATTTCTTCATGGCAACAAAGTAGCGAATGAACGTTTCTCCCAGAGCCTCCTTCAGACATCCATCTTCCTCCAGGGCCCGGAGGGCTTCTTCCAGCTTCAAAGGGATCTCAGAAGGTTCTGGTTGGTAAAGGTCTGCGTTTTCCTCTGCGGCAGCCCAGGCTGCATCGCCATTTTGAAGTCCATCCAAGCCTGCTGCAACAGTGGCAGCCAGCACCAGGTAAGGGTTCGCTGTTGCTGAGCCTAGTTTATTTTCTATCTGGGTGCCTTTTTCGCCGTGACACTTGATGTTCAAGGTGCAGCTGTTGTCGTTGAATCCCCAGTCGTCGGCACATGGTCCTTGCAATAGGGCTTGCAGCAGCTGACCGCAGGAGCCATCAGACAGCTGAGAGCCGCCGAGTGCTTCAGGAGCCCAGCCAACCACTTCTTCCCGGTGACGGTGAGCTGCTCCACCCCAGAGCCACTACAGAACCTGTTCATCTTCCCACCTATATCCCGGACACTATGAGACAAATTCCTGAATTGCAGAACCCAGTCTCGATGACAAGGCTAGCTATGTAATTATATCTCCTGGCCACTTCTTTGACTCCTGATCTGAGTGTGAATGCATTGTCAGCTGAACTAATGCCAAATTCTGTCAGAAAACAGATCTCCATCTGCCCAGGCCTGGTGGAAGAAGAGAAGCTCTCCACGTTGGCCCCTGCGTGATACAGGCCATCCACTAGCTCCTGCATGAAGGGCTGGCCATGATTATTCAGTAACGTCAAAGCAGGAAATGACACGGTCTTTGAATTGATAACTTCCGGCACACCAAAAATGAAGAAATCATAGATGAAGGCAGAGAGCAGGGAGAAGCCTGTGTCCTGCAGCCGCTGCAGCTGCCTCTTGGCGATGTACCTGGGGGAGGTGGGCAAAGGCTCACCCATCACTGTGAAGGTGTCGTAGATCACCCTCACGGTCCTCTCCGCCCATGGCAAGACTCTGAAGGTTGACCGCTCTAGCATAAGAACGATGTCACTATTGAAGCAGGTGGCTCATATGTGATTGACTTCATTGTCCTTAGGATTCAGTATCAATTCCAGATAACCTCAGGGCATGAAAACACGGTGTGTCACTTTTTCCTGGAAAAGGGGAAGAATAAGTCAACTAGGTTCTGAAATGCTCAGACAAACACTAGCATGGAGGAAGCCTTCCTGAGAAGACCCTCTTTAATATCTGTGAGTTAACATTACTTTAATACCAGATAATTTTTAAATAATTCAGAATAACCATACAAAGACCTTTTATAAACAATTTTAATGTTTTATTTATTTCTAATTATTTTCATTTACTTACTTTATATGTATGGGTGTTTTGCCTGCATGTGAGTAAATGCACCTATGTGTGTAATGCCCATAGAGGCCAGAAGAGGGTAGAAGATCCCCTGGAACTGGAGTTACAGATGTCTGTGAGCCACCATGTGGGTACTGTGAACCAAACCCAGGTCCTCTGCAAGAGCAGTCATTGCTCTTAACTGCTGAGCCATCTCTCCAGCCCCAATTGTTAATAGTTTAATGCAAGTCTTGGTATGCTCTTAGATGTGGGAAGCATGCTTTACATGTCTATAAATAAATGCTTTAAGGATAAAGAAAATCACTTTATGGCAAAAAACAAAGGTACATATCCTATATTAAATTATTACGATAAAAATACTTTATAAAGCATTTCACTTTACATTTCTTAAAACCAGATAAGTTTTGTTTGGTTGGCTTGTTCTATTATATTTTTAGTATTATTATTTTGATTCACATATTTATGGGTGTATTGTGACCATTTCATATATGTATACAATGTGTACTGATCAAATCATGGAAATTAAAGTTTCCATCTCCTCAAATTACTCATAGGACAGATAACGAGTCATTACACACTGTAATAGCTCCACTGTGCAGAGCACGAGAGCTTACAGCTTCAATCTGTGTTCTGATACTCACTGTCCAGCCTCCCACTGTCCTTTCACCCCTCAAGTTTCTCAGCCCCTCATAATCACTATTCTATTTAGATCCACATTTTTAATGTCCATATGTGAAAGAGATCATATGTGATCGGTCTCTCAGTGTCTGACTTATTTCACTTAATTTATTATGCTGTAGTTCCATCCATTTTGCTACAAATGATAGGATTTCTTTCTCTTTTTTGCCAAATAACATGTCATAATGTGTGCATCATATTTTCTTCATCCTTTCATCCATTAATACTAATCTAAGTTTATTCTACATCTAGTTATCATGAATAGTACAGCAATAAATAGATCCACCATATAATCCAGTTATCACACTTCTGAATAAGTATCTAAAGAAAATGATATCAGTATATTAAAAGAGACAAGCACAGCCATGGTTGTGGCTTATTCTGCCGTAACCCCCTATTAACTGACTCTCATGATTCTACAGTGAGAAATCCTACATCTTTGTTGGAGTAGAAACCATGCCAGATCACCAGGACACAGGACAGTTCCTGTATGAGAATACAGGAAGAACCAGGAAACCCAACAGTTTCACTACTCTGTTCACTTTTACAACCCGCTTCACAATCAGTTACTTTATTGTCTCCCAGAGTCTGTGAACATGAACCTATATCTCCAAAACATATAGATTCTAAAATGTAGCCTTCAAGTCAGCATGAACTTGGTGTCAGCAAACCTGAACCCAAGCAACAGTTCATTTATTAACTGCTGGTGTGGAGTTGGGCAAGGCACTGAACTATGTGCCTCCAACAAGTCCTTTCTATGTCCTTAAAACAAGTTCTGCTAGATAATGGCAAAGGCACTTTCCAGCCAAATATCTCTGGGTCTCTGGGGTCCAATGGATCTGCTCACTTATCTAACAAAGCTGTATGTCAGGAAACATAAATGGTAAGGCTGGAAAGATGAACAGACACATGAATTTTTTTTAACTGTGTAGGAAATATCAACAAGGTTTCATGGAGAAAATATTCTGACCATAAAATGTGGTTTTCATGGAGTCAGTGAGCATCACATGGTTAATAACAAACATCCTAACATGCCATAAACCACATTGGGTTGTTCATGTTTGTCCCCAGACCCTAAAGAGAATGGCTACTGGGAGAGCTGTGCTAACAGAACTGATCTTCAGGCCAGCTCTCCTCATGACGACCAGAACTGTCTCCACCTCCTGTCACATCTACATATATTCTCAAGTGCCATCTTGATTTCACTGATCTAAATCTGTGCTTTTAACCCTCCCCTTTATATTTTTGTTCTCTTTTTTGGTTGTTTGAGACAAGGTTTCACATATCCCAGGCTTGCCTTGAACTCACTATGTAGCTGAAGCTGGCTTTGAACTCCAAATCCTTCTTGCTGTCTCTGCCTCCTGAGTGCAGGATTACAGGTATGTGCCACCACACCCAGCTTCCAAATCTAGTTTTACCAGCAAGAGAGTAAGGAAAAATCTCTCACTTCTCAGACTTATACACATAAATTTTATGCATACCTATAGGTACACTCAGTCACACACATGCTTATACACACACATGCATATTGGGGGACCTTGATGCAATTCAGTATGGACCATTTCAGTTCAGACTTTCACTGGAAGAAATAATATTATTTCCCTACCTGCCCATTATTTAGCTTGAAAATCTGTATGGTGGTTGTGTGTATATAGAAAATGAGAATAATGTATTTTATTCATGAGGCATCTAAGAGATCATACAATCTTAAATCTGTATTTATATTCCCTCTGCTGAAAATAGTACAGAACAGCTAGTCACCACTCCATTCCAGAAGTCCTTTATGACTAGATGAATAGTGAGAAGTCACACTTTATCACACTTGTCCCTTTACACTATTTAACCTATGATTTTTAGAGCACTTTTCTCCCAGTATTTCCTTTTCTTTATATATTTTTGGACATGCTGAATTCAAACTCCTTGCTATTATCTGTGAGAAATAGCCAACATATGTATAGTCTTTGTCTATAACAATAAATTATCTTGAATTATATTTACAATATACAGTGCTGAAGGACTTGAACAGCTTCATACTTCAAGACAGGTCACTAAACAAATTCTTGCTAACAACCATCCATAACTCCAACTCCAGGGAATCTGATGCCCTTTCTCGACCTCCAAAGGTACTGCATGACATGGGTACATTTACACAGATGCAGGCAATACACTTATACACATAAAATAAAATAAAAATGATAAATAAAATATTTTTTTGGAAAGAAAGTTAAATATGCTAGTGCTTGGAAGGCATTTAGTGCCATGGCAGCAAATGGAAAGTCTTCTAAAAGGCAGAGATGCTATTTTATGTTAGGTTTTCTCTTTGGCCTCTTCCAGCGGTAGACCAGTGTTTTCCTCTAGTCTCAGCAGGTGGTCTGGGTTTTGTTTAAGTTAATTTTTTCATTTAATAGGAAACAACAGAGTTCAGATGAAGTACAAAGGAATATTAAGCTAAGTTGGAGACAGTAGATGCAGAAAAAAAAATCACTGAACTGTGAGCCATCGCAAGCTGGAGTCTGAGTGCTGACGTTCCCTGGCTGCTTTACTATGAGAAAATTTTTCTTAACTTTTAATGGTTTCACTTTATTCATCTATAAATAAAAATGGATCATATTATCTCTTCTAATCATTCATGACCTAACTTGGTCATTTCAAATTGGTATTTTATTTCCCACAAATAAAATGGTTATAAAATTATTCTCATAAAAATCTAAATTACTTTTACATAAAACCAGGAGCAGACTCAAACTATTAATTTTGTATTTTTGCCTAAGGAATTTCTCATACATAGTCACACATATACGTATGTATACGCACATTGTTTAGATTATCTTGTACAAATGAACATACCTGTTTGAAATATAGTAGCCAAAGCAAATTATTTAGTCTTAAATTATTACTATTTATGATATAAATACTTATGATATATACTTTCAAAAGTTTGAAAATGAGTTTAAGGTGTTTTGTTTAAAAATATATATCTAGGGGCTGGAGAGATGACTTAGTGGTTAAGCACACTGGCTGTTCTTGCAGAAGACCTAGGTTTGAATCCCAGCACCCACATGGTGACTAACACCCATCAGTAACCCCAGTTCCAGGGGATCCACGCGCTCTTCTGGCCTCCTTGAGCAATGCACAACATAGGCACAAATACATGCTGCTAAAATACTCATACACATTATACAAATAAATAAAAGCTTAAAAAGTCATTTAAAAGTATGTGTGTATATATATACATACATACACACATATATGTTATATATGTATTATATATATTTTTTCTATTTTCCTGATGGCTGGGAACTTGTTCATATGAATTTACAGCAATGATGCCATGCACAAGACCTATGCAAAGTCAAACCAGACAAAAATCCAGCGAAGAACTGAAGAAATGGGCAAGAAGCCCCAGCCTTAGCTGAGGAACTATTGGCAGCTGATCACTGCTGGGTGAGGGAGAGTTGGTCTTCTTTAAGGAAGTGACACTACATAGCTTGACCAGGCTCCAGTGGATGAACTCACACCAAAGGACATTTAGGAAAATAAACTTGACTTGACGGGTCTTAACATATATGACAGAATGCATGAAATCTGGTGGCATGGCTATGGGGGTGCAGATAAGGGTATCTAACTATTATCCAGGTGTACTGTATGAAAATGCACAAAAATTCAATAAAAATAGAAACTATATATAATCTATGAATATTGAGCTAGAATAACAGAATACCTAAGTAAGTCTATGAAAAGTGAGTTACTAGAAACTGAGGCACACACAGTGCAAAGGATGTGTGGTGACTTAACGTCAAATTCTTGTGATAAAACAATTCTTTCAAAGACAATCCAGGTGAAAGTCATTTTGATATGTGGCATACTGAGCAAAAAGATTTTTAAAAAATGGGGATTATTTTTTTACTTTCTCAGATTTTTCCTCATCTATTTTTAACTCATTGTTATTGAAGTTTTACAAATTTCATGCAATATTTTTTTATTTTATTTAAGCCCCTCCCCTGTCTACACCCTTTTTAATACCCTCTATTTAGCAGTTTTTTAAATGTGGAGATTTTCTTTTAGGTCCATTAAACCAGTCTTCAGCAAATGTAAATTGCAGGTTAAAGTTCTATTTTTGCAAAAGTGTTTCACTGATGAATTGAGTAGTGTGCTGTTTACTTTTCAGATGCCATTAGTGAAATAAATCACTAGAATTTGCCAAAAATTGAACAGCAAACAGGTTTATATTGAGGTTTCTGTCAAGTGTCTGAAATACCAATTACATTTTCTTACTGGTTAAAGGAGATTTGTGTGAATTAACCTCTGGTCCTGCCCTTAGAAGTTTCACATTTTAAATTAACTACCATGTAAAGTTCCTTTTTAAAATTTTTTTATTTATTATTTTTATTTTATGTGTATGAGTATATTGCTTGCATATATGTAAGTACACCCATGTGGTGCAATGCAGGCAGAGGTCAGAAGAGGGTGTCAGATCTCCTGGAACTGGAGTTATGGACAGCTGCTAGTTGCCATGTGGTGCTGGGAACTGAGCCCAGGTCCTTTGCAAGAGCAGTCAGTGCTCTTAACTGAACTGCTGAACTCTCCCACCAGGCCCACATACAGAGTTCTTAACTAAAGGTAGAAGAGACACTATCTACAGGCTATTTATAGAAAATATCACAGAATTTTTAAGATATTTTAACATTTAGTGTGTGTGCGGGTGTGTGGGTGGGTGTGACAGTCAGAGGACAACTTGAGGAAGTCAGTTCTCTCCTTCCACCATGTGAGTTCCAGAGATTGAACTCAGGTCATCAGGTTTGGTGGCAAGCACTTTTACCTGCTGAGCCATCTTGCTGGCCCCCATAGAATTTTTTAAGAAAGAAAATTTGAATTGGCCAAATCTATCAAAAAATGATCTGAAAATATCCCATTTTCACCAACTCAAAGAATTAAAATTTGATATTAAAGTGAAAGTGCATGGCACATTTCAGAAATAGTCGCCAGGATCAGTGGCACCCACCTGTAATCTAAGCTATGTGGGCGACTGAAATAGGAAATCATGAGTTCCAGGCCAGTCTGCGTTGTACAACATAAAAGGTTAAACTTTCAGGATACTTGAATTTAATACTTTTATAAAGAGTGCTGACTGATATCTTTTCCCAAGAAACTTCATGTTTGACAATCACAACAAATCAGTCCTAAAATAAACATAACACATGAACTAAACACAACAACCCTGGAAGTCTCAAAATATATCCCAGAATACAAGATTTCTTGATACCACTATTTTCAAGAACTTAAGGTTCATTAAGTCATCTAATAACAATAGGGTATGTCCTTATCAGAATTGTAGCTGAAAGGGATAAGCTTTTTATCTAGAAAATTCTTTCTATTTAATCATTTTTTCCTTTCATATTTGCTCTTGGGTCTTGGGCTGCAATTTTCTCATGTCAAATAAAACACAGTCTTCATAACTGCAGTATGAAGAGAAAAGATAATTCTGTAGAGTGAAATTATTCAAGGCAGAAGGACTAAAATCAGCAGTCTTAATTAGTTTTATATTTCTATTGAGTAAAAGAATTGCTATTGTGTGTTCATCTCCTTGGGGAGCAATAACGTGTATGGGAGGAACAAAGAAAATAACAAAATAAATGATTGCTTTTCAGCTTGAATTGCTGTGCAGATTACAAGAAAATAAGGACGTATTCATAAGGAGCATTTGCTTGTTAATTGTCGTGAAACCACATTCAGTCGTAACTATCAAACTCACTTGAAAAAACTGTGCAGGGATACTCTTAGATCTGGATACACCATGCAGGTCTGTTGCTTCAAATCATACAAACTGGAGGTAAATTTTGGCCATTTCTTCCTTAATGTGTTTCATTCTAGATGAAAGTTGAGGCGGAGTCAAACTTTGAGCACTGTCCCTGGTGCGATCTATAAAATAATGATTTGAAGTTGCTAGATCAGGATGAACTGAGAAGCAAGAGTTGACAAGGTGAATTAGTCACTGTGAAAACCAAGAAAAGTAGCACACACCCACTGTGTGGATGGGAACTGCCCTCAAAGCGCTTCCCTCTCTTACCTGTCTTTTCAGTCATCCCAAGAACAGTCGAAGCACGGTCAGAAACTATTGATCAGCTAGTGCTAGTTAAATGACCACATTGGGCCTAAGGAAACACCAATACCAGGCTGCTTGTCGAAAATCCCCTTGTAATTTCCTGCTTGTACTATGGAAATTAGTACATATTTGAGTAACTGGACAGTGCTGGAATCTTTGGAGTCTGTGTGTAGATGACGCTCATTAAAATCTTGATACTTCTTGAACTAACTGAAATTTCTAAACTAAACATTCCTATGTAATTAAAGGTAATTTTTTTTGTTTCTTTTCTGTTGTGTTAGGTTGGCTACTTTCTTCTTTGTCTTATTTTGGCAAAGGTGCCTTACATCTTTGTAATAGCATCTAAATCTTAGAAGCCCATCTCTCTGTTAAATCTCAAAATTATTTAAATAAGCAAAGATATCAACAATAGGAGTGTAGGAGAGATGAAAAATTAGGACTTCACGGTCAATGTTTAAGTTAGAATGTTATATATAAAACATCCATTTCCAGACTTTTGAGCTGAAAATTCTAAATCTTTAGAACTAGAAAAGACTTTAGAGATACAGTTAATATAACTCATTTATTAGCCTGAGTCCCAGAGAGACGCAGAGCAGGATCCAAGAAACACACACACACACACACACACACACACACACACCCATTACCAATATGGAAACTGGAATCCAGTTTCTGGATTTCTGGGGTAGGGGGATGACTTGTTGGATGAATGACCTGTAGCACAAAGAATAGTCAGGCTCATAGCATGTGTTACAAACATCACTGTCAGTGTCAGAACTGATAGGAAAGGTGGCAGGGCACAGTGACTCAGTGGGAAGCAGGACACCCACCCATTTGTTTTCTTTCACCTCTTGCCTCTGCCTGGTAACTTTCTCATCCTCTCTATACCTCTGCTTCTTTGTTGATAAAATATTACCGACTTCATTGGCTTGTTATGAGGATTAAACAAGGTATTTAACAGTTACTGGCAGTCAGTAAGCACCATGTAAGTGCTACTTAAATGCAGAAAGTGAGCCCATTTACTCTAACTCCAGTTAATGGTGCTGTGATCATGCCTACATTTGAATACCCATCAATCTATCACAGCACTGACGTCAGCTATAATTTTAGAGTGATAACTAGGTATCAGCTTTCAAGATATAATTAGGCTTTGAAATAAACATAAAGACTGACAGTTTTAAAACACGGACTTTAAATACATGAAGCATGAGGAAAACAAATTACAGGTTCCACCTATGCAAATATATGAGGCATCATGTCCTGTCGCTGATGCATTTGGCTAGAGGTTTGGCTAGTCCAAGATTTCTGAGGCTTTATAACCACCTCCCATTTAACACAAACAATTAAGCTGTAACAATTATAGTGCTACATAATAAATTAACAGTTACTGTATTCCCAACTTACTTTGAAACATTGGGAGTCCAGCCCAAGTTAAATAAAGCTACTTAAATAAAATAAAATGTGTAAGCAATTTAAAATATGGGAAATTTCAAATAACCAGTATTGTAAACATAATAAGCAATAAAGTATAAGCTCTAAAGAAGACATTTCCTGTAAAATAAAAGAGGTAATTTTGTTGGTTCACCAGTAAATCGAATGGCAAGCAATCTTACTATTTTCCTTATCGTCTAAATTTTCTACAATAAATATGTATGATTTTAATTTTGGGGTACTTGTCTTTCTTTTTAAAATTTCACATTAATGGGTTTCATTATGGTGTTTTCATGGATATGTGACATTATAGTGTGTTCTAATTCACTGCCTCCCTGTTCTGTCCTCCCAGCTCTCCTTCCTCCTGACAAATAGTTCCTTCTGTGCTTTTCTACAATAAGAAAAATACTCATCCACTCACATTCAACCACTCAAGATAAATGCTTCCATCACTACTTACTTTTCTTACTGTTGTATACCTAAGAAGTAGTCAGAAAAAGGCCTACCCTGGAAAATATATTAATATATTTCCTAGTGGGGAAATTATAGGCAATAAATATGCATCAGGTGTAAAGGTGAGATGGTTTTGGATGGTGAGGTGCTAGAAAAAGCAGTGTAGAGCCATCTGGGATGAAGCATGACTGCAGTGTGTACAGGCCAGCTCCACCTGGGGCCATTCCAGTTGCAACTCAGATTGGACAACGACCACATTGGTTTGCTAGGCTACAGCACCCAGTACTGAAGATGAAGTGGGGCTTAATAGAAATGCGCTGTCTTTCATTTGGTGGCTAGAAGTCTAAGATTAAAGGTATCACTGGGGCTGTTTCTTCTGAAGCTTGTCTCCTGGGCTTAGAGTTGATCTTCTTCTAATACCTCCCCATAGCCTTGTCTTTGTGTGAGTCCATGTGTTGATATCTTTTAGGAGAACACCAGTTACATTGGCTTAGGGCTTATCCTACTACCTCATTTAACCCTGATTGCCTTTCTAAAGATCCTGTGTGCAAATGCAGGCACATTCTGAGGTACCGATGGTTGGAACTTTACTATAAGGATTTCAGAGAGACGCGGTTCTACTAAGTGTACTGTTGTTCACTTTCTATCTTCTTCAGAGTCCTTGCACGTGCTGGTCATATCTACTAGTCACAGGTTTGCTGTCTGTCATTCCCTGCATATCAGCCCCATGGGAGTCTGCCTTAGTTCTGTCTGTTGTTATAATCTCCATACCTATACAGATTTGGGCAATACTAGGCATTCAGCAGATATTCTTTTAGTAATTAAGTATGCAAGTGAATGTATAAAATATATATCCTTCACAATCTGAACTTGTCTCGTTATTAAGCAAAAACTGGCATCATATATTTTAGTATGTATACTTTACATAAAATTTTCATTTAAAATTCTTTCACCAAATTCGAAGACCCTATTTGGCCTATTTCATTTTCAAGGCATCAACTAATCTTGCTTCATTGTAGTCTGAATTTCTTTTCTTCAAATAAATTGTATTTGTTACTTAAATTAAACCTTTTGGTCAGCATTTCCCAGCTGCACACGATGAATAACAGGCAGATAATTGTCAGTTTGGGGGCTCATTTGTTTTTCTTACAGTGCGATTTCTACAAGGTGTTCTCCTATCCTATCTCCACAGAGGACTAATAAATTAATCAATATGCTTTTATAGAGAGGGTTTTACTGCTCTGCTTAGGGAGAAAAGTAAGGAAACATTACTGAAAGAAAACCTCAATGCTCAATAGCAACTAGAAGGTCTTGGAGAAATGTCAGTGTTCCAAGACAGTGAGGACATATTTCAGTGCCAGCGAAAGCCATAGTCACATATAAAAAGCAGGTAGAATAGCAACTTGGGCTTTCAGGAACACCAGATTCAGGACTGTTGAAGCTGGCTCAGTGGGATAAAACCACTTGCCACACAAATGTCAGTTTGATCCATGTATCCCACAGCGAAAGAACAGAACCAGCTCCAGAAAGCTGTCCTCTGACCTCTACCCACGTGCATGTCTTATGTGCACCTTCACACTTACCACATCATAGAACATACATACACACAAATAATGAAATTAAAATTAAATAAAAAAGATGTACAAATTTTAAAAAGGTGGACAGAGTACATCTGCAAAATGCATTCTGTAATAGATCCAGCGAATTGTGTCTGGGATTTTGCTCTTCCTGTCTGGAGCCCACTGGTCTTCATTTGTATGGCTCAGTTCATTTGCATGTACACAAGTACTGTACACTACACATGGCTGCTGTGAGAACATCCAGTTAGTGTAATGGGTCTCTATCCTCCTGCCACATTGTGTCAGCCCAGACAGCATTGGAAAGTGCAAGCAGCACAATAAACAGATGCAAAACATGGAAAAAGTAGATGGATGGATAGATGGATAGATGTATAGGTAGATAGATAGATGATAGACAAAAGAAAGAAAGAAAAAAAGAAAGAAAGAAAGAAAGAAAGAAGAAAGAAAGATAGATGATAGATTAGATAGATAGATAGATAGATAGATAGATAGATAGAGAGAGAGAGAAGATAGATAGATGATAGGTAATATGGCAAAAGGAGCTTATCTTTAAAAGCTATATAAGTTTTGGAAAATCTCAAAGTAGTTGAGGAGAAAATATTTATCTAAAACACTTAAGTGTAAGAAAATTTCTTACATTTATTTCGGGGGTTAATTTTTACATTTTTTAAATGATACATTGGTGACTTGTTTAGATTTATAAATTGCAAAGGACTTAATCTAGTAGCCTCATAAGTAATGGGGTCCACATCCCTAGGCATGGCTAATGGTACAAAGACAACTCACAGCACAATTTCTTTTTGACTTAAGCTTAAGATAGTTAATTCCATCTTTGTTTTTGGCTGAAACCAGAATACATAAATTCCCACACTGTGAAGGTGACATGGCCAGCATATCTGATTAGTCTTCCCAATGTTTCAAACCCTGTCTGAATTAGTTGACAATACTTAACTATTAGAATATTTCAGGTAAAAAGAATCTTGAGTTCAAGCTTTCCTTAAACTAGATCAGGCAATGCTGACTGGACATTTCTCTACAGCGTCATTGGCTGGAGCTCTGACATAGCCTGAGTGGCGAATGAATCTCCTGCCTCATAGATAACAAACAGCTACCAAACTACCATTTGATGACAAAAGCAGTCATGGACAGTACACAAGTGTATTTGCAAAACTGTCCATCAGGCTGAACTTGGGTGTCGGGCCATAATTTGTTGTGCTGACTTCTCAGAATCAGCACCTCCTCACTCTCCTGCCCCGGCCTCATCAGCCTTCTCATTCATATTAGCTGCTCGATACCTGTGGACTGCTATTGACTATTACATATACCAAACAATTATGTATAGTATATGTGTTATATATGTTCTCTGTTGAATGCTCCTGAAATGCGTGGACAAGCTGTCAGAACTGGTCTTCACTTCAAAGAGTATCAGGGAAGAGAGGTGGTGTGATAGGCAGAATGTGAGCCCTCAAATGCCCATCACACTCTAATCCCTAAACATCTTAAATATTGAAATGGCATGACAAAAGGATCTTTCAGGACAATTAAGGTTATGGTCCTGAAAATGGGAAGACCATCTTGCTATCAAGGCAAACCTTTAGAACCTGAAACCTTCTCCAGCTGGAGGCAGATTAGAGGTGAGGGGGACAGAAATCCAGACAGACTCCAAATAGGAAGCACATCAAGACTAAATCTTCCCCAGTCGGCAAAGAGCACTGACAATGATGGCTCCATCTCCACTCCCAGGGTCAGGAACTGGTGGGCACTCATGTTCAGTACTTTCCTAGCCTTTCTCCCATGACTAATTTTAGTCTTTTTTCATTATAACTAACTGTGACCTTGAGTTTAAACACTTTGAATAGCTTCTACACATTCTCTAGCAAATAAACTTGGGAAACCCCAAACTAACCATAATAAACTCTACAATTTGTATTTGGGTTCAGAAGCAAGAATAATGTGGTATACCACACTCCTCTAACTCCGCAGCCAGCCGTATTCTCACTTTTCCAAACTTTCTTTATTGAACCTTTTCTTTATAGATTTCCACACAGAATAAATACCTCTTTTTAACTAGTTTCAGCGACTTGTGCTAGATAGCTTCAGCTGTCAACGTGACACATCTGAGTAGAGGGAAATCAAGGAGTTTCCTCACTGGACTGGCCTGTGGCCATGTCTGTGTGGCACTTTCTTGATTGTTGAGTGATGTGGGTGGGTGAGCCCAAGGTGAGTGGTTCCACTCCTCCGTGGGTGGTCTTGTGTTGTATTAGAAAGCAGGCTAAGTGCAGGCCAGGGGAGCAAGCCAGTAAGCATCCTTCCTCCATGGTCTGTGCCTCAGGTTTCTGCACTGAGTTCCTGCCATGGCCTCCTTTGATGATGCACTGTGTGCTATAAGCCAAATAAACCCTTTCCTCCCCAGGTTGGCTTTGGTCAGTGTTTTATCACAATAGAAAGCTAAATAAGACACACTAAATAAGAGGGTGTTAACCAGTACACTCACATACCAAAATAATTATATCAGTAATCCAGAGACTTAGAATGATAGAATTTCTCTTTTATAACAGACTTGAGAGTTTTTAGGCTCTTCAGTTTTCCAGATCAGTCGGCTGAAGAGTAACAAAACCTGCAAAGCACTTTATAAACAATAGATACATGAATTCTCTTCTGTTCTGACTGTAGGGCTGGCATTCCTCAACCACCACCACATTCTCTTTAGTTCAAATGCAGACTTAGAAATGGTGGCTAGAAGTACACGCCCACTTCTACCAGAATCTTTGTAAATAAATCCTTACCAGAGTTTGGATTCAGTTCAACACTGGCAGCACTGGCTGATATGCTGAGGGGTGATGGTTTTATCACTGGTGTCTGATCCTGGGGGGTCTTTGTCATCATGAGAGGGACAAGGCTCAGAAGGACCAAGCAAGTTCAGCTCTGCTGTTTGTTTTCCGGTCCTCTCTGTGGTAAAAAGGGAAACCGTCAAAACATATTAATATTATTTTCAGCCATCTTAAATATGATATGAAGAAAAATGCTTGAGAGGGCAATTTACTCCTAGGCAGTGACATCCAAATGAGGGATGATGGGTGTGGTCTGCCCTAGTGGAAGTCTGTAAGGAAGAGAATTTTAAAACATCAATGCAATCTATTAAGTTTGCTTATTATTATTACTGTGGGTGGCAATTCCTACAGCCTCCTCTGCCCCACTGCCAGCACTATTTTCATCTGTTAGAGTCTTATTGGAATTTCAACATGTAGATGAAATTTGCTCCACACCATTCCTGTGGCCTCCCAAATCCTCAGTGATAATCTGTGTAACAATACTTTTCATTTTCTTGTCCTTTTGATTCTCCAGAATTTGACTTGATTCTCCAGAGAATGTTTCATAACAAGGAACTCAAAGAAGAAACTGCCATTGTCCATATCAGTTATGAAAATTTTTCAGTATTCACATACCATTGGTATTGGATATATTCATTTCTCCCATGTCAATAGAACAAACATGCAGTTTGGTGACTTTCTTTCTTGTCCTTCTTAATTTATTCATCCTGCTGCCTTCCGCTTCATTGCCTTCATCTTTAGTTGTGTCCTGGAATAATTAGCAAACAAAGGCCCAAATAACATATCATGCGAACAGCTGAATTTGGATGTTAAAAGTGCATTGTCGGGAGCTCAAAAGATGATGGCTCAGCAGATAAGAACGAGTATTGCTCTTGCAGAGGACCCAGATTCCATTCCTAGCACCCATATGCATGGCTCACAAGCATCTGCAACTCCAGCTCCAGGAGATCCAATGGTTCTGACCGCCAACGCCTCTGACCTCCAAGGCTACCAGCATCCACTTTCACATAAGCATGAAGACACATACAACAACACACACACACACACACACACACACACACACATAATTAAAAATAAGAAAGCTTTAAAAACCAAAGTGCATGTCAGTTGGATAGCTGGATTTAAATTGAGGACGTAAACTGTCTCTTCCTCATCCCTTTCAATGAATCTAACAGACTGAATTTTCTCTATCTCCTTTGGTATGTGTTACAGAAATTATTATTGAATAAGTTCTTGTCTAACCAACATTTAAAATTTTTTACTTTGAAATAGTTTATATTGCTTATTCCTTAATCGTTATATATAGCCATTGCATCTAAAAAGCTTTTTATGCTGTTTTCTAAGCTCTCTAACCATTTTGATTAAAAGCACAGACATTCAAAAATTTGGATTATCCTGTCTTCTCATTCAACTTTCCTCATCTTTCCTACATCAATATTTACTTTGATTTAAAAACAGGCCTTTTGGAGCTGGAGAGATGGCTCAGCAGTGAAGAGCACTGGCTGTTCTTGTAGAGGACCCAGGTTTGGTTCCCAGCACTGATGTGGCAGCTAAAAACCTTCTGTAGCTCCAGTTCCATGGGATCCAATGCCCCATTCTGGCCTACACGGGCATGGCACACACTTGCACATGGTGCACTTATACACATGCATGCAAAACACTCATATACATAAAATAAAATAAACAAATAAAATTTAAAAATAGAACTTTCATTCAAAATGTGTTTCTTTTGTGACTTGACTTTTTTGAATTTTTATTAGTGTACATGAGTAAGTCTCACTGTGACATTTTCATACACACACACATGCAAATTAATCAGATTCACCCCACTCCCATTATCAATCTTGTCCTTCCTTACTCTGGTTTTATGACTGGTTTTATTTTTTTAATATTTTATTTATTATTTTTATTTTATGTGTGTGAGTATATTACCTGCATGTATGTAAGTGTATCCATGTGTAATGGCCACAGAGGTCAGAAGAGGGCATTGAATTCCCCTGGAACTGGAGTTACAGATGGTTGTTAATCACCATGTAGGTACTGGGAATCAAACTTGGATCCTCTGCAAGAGCAGCCAGTGCTCTTAACTACTGAGCCAGCTCTCCAGCCCTTATGACTGGCTTTAAGTATACAAAAGTCTTATACTATTTTATAGCTTAGTAAAATCTAAAGTACCTTTAAAAATATATATCCTAACCTTAACAGTCTACTTATAATCATCAGCAAGACATTTCAAGCATGGAGTTAGAAAGTGAGCAGAGACTGGTAGAAGACCTCATTATTAACAGTTGAAAGACTAGCCCCTGAAGGCATGGGACACAAAAGCATTAAAAAATGCACGTTTTGGTACTTTTAAGGTGTTCTGCAAAATTCTGCATTGTGGTTTGAAGGGAGAGGAAAGGGAGAGGGTTGGGGTCAAAAACTCTTCTAAATACTTTGAGCCATTGTCTTTCTTGAAGAGCAGGTTCTGAGAGGTCTCATCTGGGGGCAGTCAGATAAATGTATGTGCAGAATGTTTGCAAGCAAACAGCTGTACAAATTTATCCATAAAACCAAAACAGTATCTGAAGGTTAAAAGAAGAGGGAAAGGATTTTGCTTTTCTCTTGTGATATGTAACTATGATGCATTGTTATTATTGTTACTGAATGAGGATCTATTTTATGAAGTATTTTGTTTATTTTATTAATTTGAGGGTTAGAATACAAAATAATGGGTTCCATTGGCAATCTTTCCTTGTAATTATATAGTTTATTAGAAAATTGTGGTGTTTTCACTGAAGATAATCTTATATTTGATTATGTGGAACTTCTATGATAATTTATTTTCTCTAGTAGTATAGGACTTGATTCAAGTATTTGTAGAAATTTCCCAAGTATACTCTCAGTTAAGATCAGACAGTGATGCTATAGGTACCCCATTTCCAAAATTACATTACTTGAAATATATAATCTTATATTTGAATGCTTTTACATATACCTGTCCCTGATATTTTAAAGAAGAGTTGTTCAGAAAGGTATACAAACATCAGTGGACTCTGAGTTAGCTGACCTTTGCCTTAGTTTAAGCCTCTTGGAAATTCCCCTCATATATAGGTTGAAGAAATCATATGAGATAAAGTTTAAGATACCTCCAGCTTCAAACTCCAATTTCAATAGTAAACAGTGGGGTCACAATGTGCCAAGCTAGGCACAGGTGTGTTTCCTGGTGTAACAGACTTGCCACTTGACAAATGAGAAAACAAGACAGAGTTACTTGTCCAAGGTCACAACAGTGCATGGAAAATGAGGTTTCCATGAAGGTCCTCTGATTTTCCTGATGCTCCTTTGCTCCCTCAAGAACAAAGGCCAGAGCCCAAAAACAGTTCTTGTGCCCTCATATGAGCCACTAAAAGGGGAAACCTTATTATAAAATCAAGAGTGACTTACTGAGGTACTGACCTGAGAAATTCACCAATAAGAGCCCCAAAGAAGTCATGGTATATGCCTCGTACTCAGTAAAAATGCTCCTCTTTTTAAGGAGTCGAGCTGTCCTTTTCCTGATGAAAAATGCATTTCATTCTGTCCTTTGATTTTATTTTGTGTACTCATGTGCTAAGGATAAAGATATTGCTATAACATCTGAAACAAATTTACTGGACCCCAGGCTTGTCCCATGCAGTCAAATACTTTTAGTCTCCCAAATCTTTCATTTGGACTTAGCTCAGTATGAATGATGTTTCAGTAAAAATCCTACTAAGATTCATGACGCAAACATTCTGATTTTGCTTTCCTACTACATAACAAATTCTGCTACTCTGACCAATAGATACTAATATAAACATAATCACACACAGCAAGCATGTCTTCGTTGGAAACCATTTTCATAATCAAACAATATTACATATCTCTTTGTATTTACAGTAACACCAGGAGAATATTATATTCTAAGCTTTTGTTGCAGGCCCTCAAGGGCTAAGTAATTTGCTCAAAATCATTATGACAGAAGGAAGAATTCAAACCTGAGCCATTTATGCGGAGCATCTCTCACATTATCACAGCCAAACAGGTGACCTAAATTAAATTAAACTTCTATTCTATAATGTTACTACATACCTCATAAAACTGCTCTATTTCCTCATCACATATTCTCTTTCAGTTACATTTTAAAATATGCTTTCTTTCCAAGGGCCAAAAATCTTGAAAATATCTGGGAGCTTTTATCCAATCCTTGAAGGATTTTAGGGTTACCTCTTCAGAGGGTGGAATGTTAGAATAGCCAAAAGCCCCATAAAATAAATAAATAAATCAAAGAAGAAGAACGAGTACATGAAGCTATCAGAAAACAGTGATGGGGAGATATGGGAGGAGTTGGAGGGGAGGGAGTGGGCATGGATTTGATCAAAACACCTTATACGCATGTATGAAATTCTCAATAAATTATTGATTTTTTAAAAACCAGAAGGAACCATATTAATCAAACAACCTACTGACAAATTATATATACAACTGGCTCAAGCAATATAATATATGTCTACGCAAGGTTTAACTGAGAACCTTCGGTCTTTTCCCAAGCTTTATCTACATGGCACATGGTAATTAAAAGTACCAGACTGGTGGAACTAACCTTCTTGGATGTTTAACAGACATACTTTGAGGTCTATACTAATTTGGTCAGAGGGACACAAAGGACAGTTTTTGCTCCTTGCCCTCCAAGGTCGACTAAGTTCCAGGGGACTATGAGCTTCTCTCAAAATGTCTTGTAACTGTGGTGAGTCACCTATCCTCTTGATCAAGGAGGCCAGGGAGACCCCACCAAATGGACTTGAACCAGTGTCCAGTCTACAAAGAGGAGGGTCAACACAGAGGAAACATTTCCTCCATGCTTCCAAGTGAAGCCAGCCACAGCTGAGCAGGACCTTTGACTTATCTTCACATAGATGGAACCAGTAAAAGAAAGGAGCCAGGGGCTCCTCCCAAGCCCATGTGACCCCTGAGGAACAGATCCTCAAAATCCCTTAAGAGCAAAAATGAATTGGTTTATCTGGGCCAAGTGTATGGTCTTACACACCCAAAAGGAACATATAACCAAAGATTAAAGGGATTAATATAATTCTTTAAAAGTCCTGGTGACTAGATAAAGGTTACATAACAAGAAACAATGCCAGACAGGACATTCCTTCCTTTGAGTTGTTGGCACTGGGAAAATGAACAGCAGACCCCAATCTTGTCTAAAGGAATATTGGCAGTTGATTGCTGCTAGATGAGGAAGAGCTGATCTTCCTAAAACAAGGAACTCTAGATACGCTGACTAGATTCAGCAGATGGACAAGCACTTCCCAGCATCTACAGGGAAGCTAACAGCCATCGATAACTCCAGTTCCAGGGGATTCAAAGCCCTCCTCTGGCTTCCACAGGCATGTGGTGCATTTATATACATGCAGGCAAAACACTCATACACATAAAAAAATTTTTAAAGTTTTAAAAAGGCCATCCACACAAAAAAATCAATAAATTTAAAATAATGAGTTATATTTGAGGAAGAAGCATAAAAATTTGCTCCATGTTAATTAGTAGAGGTGAAAAACATTACCATTGAAATCTACCTGGTGATTTATATCCATGCTCAGTGCCAAGGATCTCAGAAAGCAACTGACTATGATTAGTAATAATCAGATACATAGAGATTAGAGAAGCATGTGCAAACATCTAAGTATTAGTAGCATTAAAAATGAGTTTTTCTGTATGAAACAGTATATTTTAAAATGAAATGAAGATCTTTTCTAAAGGTTAAAACTTCATTTGATATTATGTCTTATAGGGTTCATACTGAGTTCAATATTGTATAACTGTATTAATTCAACTGTGAACCTAAAAATTTACAGCCAATTTTGAAAGAGATGCATATCTTTGCTCTGGAAATTGTTATTGAATATCTTTGCTCTGGAAATTGTTATTGAATATGTTAATGCTGTAATGAAATGCTTCTTCTAACCATGTGGCTATTAAATAAATGTATTTTTTAAAGATATTCTTTCTTGTACAAGGG